TGTATTTAGCCTTTGTCCCCATTTCTTGGCCCCAAATTCCTAAAATTCTTGACTCCTCAAAGGGAAAAGAGTCTTTCTGTATGCTAATGAGTTGGCTGATGGCTGGCAGCCCCTAGGTAGCTTCAGGAAGTAGATTGATTACTAGAAAGACTAAAACAGGATTAGGGGGCTATAGATTAAATTGATCACCAATTGCCAATGATTTCATCAATTATGCCTATGTAATGAAGCCTTCATAGAAATCAAAAAGGACAGGGTTCAGAAAGCTTCCAGATAGCAGAACACGTGGAAGTTCCTGGAGTGTGGCTGTATGGAAGCTCCACGTCCCTTCTCCCATACCATGCCCTAAGCACCTCATCCTCTGTACCCTTTAAATATTGTTTATAATAAATTGGTAAAATGGCACACAAAAAAAAGATGCAGTCAACACTCAAAAGTTAGTCCCATTTCTATAAATTAACAATGAATGATTTTTTAAAAATTCCATTTAAACCACATTAAAAAGAAGAAAATATGGGAACTGGCAGGTGCTATGGTAGTTAAGGGCTCTGGACTCCCACACAGCCAATCACGGTTCGAGTTCTGAACCTGATGGCTTGCTTTCTCACTTTCCTTCTCTCTCTCTCTCTCTCTCTCACACACACTCTGTCCTTCTCTGGTCAAATTAAAATAAATAAATAAATAAATAAAGTTAAATAAAATAATAGTTTTTTTAAAAAAAAGATGAAAGAACTTAGGAATTAATTTAACTAAGGAGGTGAAAGACTTATACAATGAAAACTATAACAGATTTCTAAAAGATATTTTAAAAGATATAAATAAATGGAAAGAGATGCCATGTTCACGGACTGGAAGACATATAGTGAGTGCTAAGATGTCAGACTACAAGGACCAGCAGATGGCATAATGTTTACATCACTGTACTCCCTTGTAGTCGACAGTGGTTCCAGTCCTGGACCCGGTGCCTTGAAGCCCATACCAGGAGCATGTGCGTGCATTCCCAAAATCCAGAGAGGAGAACAGAGGAGAAGGGATAGCAGCATGGTCACCCCTGGGGTAGTGATTTCTCACTTTCTGTCTCTCTCTGTCTTTTTGGTGAGCACATGTGCCCTATAGATTAATTTTATTTAAAAAGAATATGTCTAACTACCAAAAACAATCTACAAATTCAATACAATTGTCTAAATTCCAATTATGGCTTTTACAAAAATAGAAAATTCCATACTAAGATTTATATAGAATTCTCAAGGGATCCTAAAAAAGAAGAGCAAAACAAAACTGTGAGAGAAGAATGAAGCTGGCAGATTCAAACCTCCTGATTTCAAAACTTACTACAAAACTACTATAATCAAAACAGTGTGATACTATTGGGTAATCAGAAAAGTTATCATGTATTTTTACACAGAAGAACATAAAAAAAATGTGTCATGACTTTTCCAACACCCCAACAGCATAAACAGACATAAAGCCTAATGGGGATAAATGGAGAGCCCCTAAATAAACACTTGACTATATGATCAAAGGGTGACACGTATTTTCTTTTCTTTTAAATAATTCTTTTATTTAACTTTAGTTTTACATTTTTGACCAGAGAAGGACAGAGCAAGAAAGAGAGGGAAAGAAAGTGAGAAAGCATGTCACCAGGTCCGGGACCCAAACCATGGTTGGCCATGTGGGAGTCCAGCGCCCCCAACTACCACACCACCTGCTGGCATGGTGACATATATTTTCAATAAGGTTAACAAGACCATTCAGTTAGGTCAAAAGATCATTCAGTCTTTTCCACAAATGATACTGGAAAAACTCAATTTCTACAGACAAAGAATGAAGTTGGACCTTTACTTAACAATATACTCAAAATAGAACCATGACCTAAATATAAGGCTTAAAACTACAAAACTTGGGGCCAGCAGGTGGCATGGTGATTAAGGCACTGGGTACTCCCACATGGTCAACTACGGTTCAAGTCCTGAACCTGGTGACTTGCGCTCTGTGTGTGTGTGTGTGTGTGTGTGTGTGTGTGTGTGTGTCTGCAAATAAAAATAAATGAAAGAAAATGAATAAATAAAATTTAATAAATAATTATTTGAAAAAAATTAAAACTATAAAACCTAGAAGAAAACACAGAGAAAAAGCTTCCCAGCGACAGATTTGGTAATTACTTTTTCAACATGACACTAAATGTACAAGGAATAACAACAACAACAACACACATACAGAATAAAACTGACAAGTTAGACTTCATGAAAATTACAAACGTGGTGCATGAGAAGTATAAAAGGCCAACTTACAGAATACAATAAAATATTTGCAAACCATGTATCTAATAGATTAATAGTCAGTCTATGGGCCAATAGGTAGTGTAGTGGTTAAGGTGCTGGACTGCCACATGGCTGACCATGGTTGGAGTCCCGGACCTGGCGACTTGCTTTCTCATTTTCCCTTCCTCTTTCTGTCTCTCTCTGGTCAAATTAAAATATAATAATAATAACAAATAAAATAAAACAAATAATTCTTTAAAATAGTCAGTCTAGAAAGAAAAATCCTAACTCAAAAAGGGACCCAGGACTTGAATAGTTATTTCTTCAAAGAAGATATACAACACAGCTAGCAAACATAAAAAGATGCTGCTCAACATCACTCATCATCAGAGAAACATACATCAGAACTTCAATGTAATACCACCTCACACCAATTGGTGTAGCTACTACAAGAAAAAAAGGTACAAAACAAATGTTGGCGGGATGTTGAAAAATTGAAACACTTCTGCACTGCTGGTAGAAATGTAAAACGCTACAGCCACTGTGGAAAACAGTAGGATGGTTCCTCAAAATATTAAACACAGAAATACCATACAATCTAGCAAATCCACTCTGGGTGTATACACAAAAGAATTGATGATAAGGTCTTAAAGAGATAGTTATGTACTCATGTCTACAACAGCAGTATTCACAATAATGAAAACATGGAAGTAACTAACTCACGTGTTAATCACCAAGGGGATGGATAAACAAAATGTGGTATATACATAAATAAAGTAAATGGGAAAAAATTCTATATATACTACAAAATGGATAAATCTTGATAACATTATGCTAAGTGAAATAAGCCAGTTACAAAGACAAATATTCACACACTGTGATTCTATTTATATGAGGTTCTTAGAGTAGTCAAAATCGCAGAGACAGAAAGTAGAATGGTGGTTGCCAGGGACTGAGGGCCAGAGAGAACCAGGAGTTATTGTTTAATGGGTATAAATTCTGCTTTGTAAGATGGAAAGAGTTTGGAACCAGCAGGTGGCATGGTGGTTAAGGGCGCTGGACTTCCACATGGCTGACAGTGGTTCAAGTCCTGAACTTGGTGGCTTGCTTTCTCACTTTCTCTCTCATTCTATCCCTCTCTGATCAAATTTTTAAATATAATAGTTAAATAAAATAATTCTTAAAAAAAAAAAGATGGAAAGAGTCCTGGAAATGGGTAGTGATAATGTAATAGCTGTATTTCATATCACTGATCTATATACCTTAAAAAAGGTCAAGATGGTGTATTTTATATGTATTTTACTACAGAAATAAAATAGTCAGGGGGCCAGCAAGTGGTGTGGTACTTGAGGTGCTGGACTCCCACATGGTTGACCAAGTCTCAGACCTGGTGGCTTGCTTTCTTACTCTCTCTTTATGTCTGTCTATCTCTGGTCAAAATTGAAGAATAAAGATAATAAATATAATTAAAAATAAATAAATCTTTTTTAAAAAAATCAGAAAAAATAGAATTAACACACAACAAACAATTAACAAGCAAACAAGACTCCATATATTTCTTACCAAAAGATAAATACAGAAATAAAAGAAGATGCTTGCTATTTTAAGGTTTCTATTAAGATATAGGGAAGGGGCTTGCCCAGTAGTCTAGTACTTAAGGGAGCCAGGTTACACGTGACTTGAAAAACACACCAGATGCATGCATGTCCCAAATCTGGAAAGAACAGAGAAATGAGAAGTTATTGCAGCTTGACCAAATCTCATGAGGGGTGCTTTGTCCCTCTTCCACTTTTTCTCTATGTCTTTCTCTGGGCAGCACAGAGCTCTCTGGCAATTTTGTTGTTTTTGTTTTGTTTTTCATTTTCTTCAAAGAAATAGGGAAGGACTTGACTGATGAACCTGACTCAAATATGGTGATTGTTTCAGAGGTAAGGCAAATGTTCTGAACTCCTCACCTTTGAAATAAATGTCTGTCTTGCCCTCAAAACCTGGCTTGTAAACTGAAGGCAAATTCCCTTCTTGTCTGGTCCCAAGTCTAAATAACTAGGGTTCCAACTAAACACACACACACACACAAACTCACTGATCAAGAGTTGAAAGCTGAAACATGCAAAAATAATTTCTGAAGATTGTTTAACACTAATGTAGGGGAAGCAAAATACTTTTTTTTTAATATCTTTTAACTTCCATCTAAGTAGTCTTAAAATAATCAAGTCAATACTTGCCTAGAGAAGGAAAAACATCTAATTTAGGCCAGGTATGAAAACTATTAGCTGAAGTGGAAACCCATGGATCAAGGTTTGACTCCCGCTGGAGCTTAGGTGTGGGTATCAGTAAGACTGCAGCTCTGGGCACCCACCTGTGCCCGTCCTTTTCAAGAAGCCCAGCAGCACATTCCCCGAGGCTAAGAACCTCCTGAAGAAAGAGATGGTCCTTCACTTCTGCATCCGCAAAGGCTAACACAGCCTGTGGAAGTTTAATAACTGAACTAGTGGCTATAAACCTACTCAGCATCTCCCCAAACGCCCAGGCTTCTGTCACTGTGGAAAGCGACGATTTAAAGAAGGCTGAGCACATGTTCCGGTTTGGCTGGGTGAAGTTACTCTGCGTGAGGAGGTTCATCCCCGCCCTTACTCCACCCCCCGCTTGAAAGCAGCCCAAGAAAGGGCGACGACTTTGGCATCACCCTGTGCCAAAAATCTCTCCGGAGAGCCGTGCCACATGCTCTTGGTTGCTCACCTCCTCTGAGTTGGGGCCAAACGAGGAGTTCCAGTTGATCAGCCCCTCCTTGAGCTCCAGGATGTCCAGCACGCCGTCCCCATTGCGGTCCAGGTCTTCGAAGAGGATCCGGTAGCGGAAGTAGTCTTCCTCCGTCTGGCAGGCGGCCGCCCGCAGCACGCAGGCCCCG